CTCAGCTGTAGTTACATAGCCTCTTCTCATTTTCAATACTAAATCAGCTGTAGTTACATAGTCTCTTCTCATTTTCAATACTAAATCAGCTTTAGTTACATAGCCTCTTCTCATTTTCAATACTAATTCAGCTGTAGTTACATAGCCTCTTCTCATTTTCAATACTAATTCAGCTGTAGTTACATAGTCTCTTCTCATTTTCAATACTAATTCAGCTGTAGTTACATAGCCTCTTCTCATTTTCAATACTAAATCAGCTGTAGTTACATAGCCTCTTCTCATTTTCAATACTAAATCAGCTGTAGTTACATAGCCTCTTCTCATTTTCAATACTAAATCAGCTGTAGTTACATAGCCTCTTCTCATTTTCAATACTAAATCAGCTGTAGTTACATAGCCTCTTCTCATTTTCAATACTAAATCAGCTGTAGTTACATAGCCTCTTCTCTTCTGAATAAATCTTATAAAGAACCAATAGTTAAAAAAAACGAAAATCTTAATTATATTTATTACATACGTTGTAGAATGTAAAAAACAACTTCACTTATTACTGTATGGCTATAGCAAATACCTAAAATAGATTTAAAGTTATTTTGAAAAGACCATAGTATTCAGAATTTTATATCAAAAATCAATGAGATGTGATCTATGAATCACGATTACTTTAAGGGAGACAATACTTATACAAGTTTACAAGGGACATATGTACTCACACCTATATGTAACAGAGATGAAAGTGACTTACAGTTATCAACCATTTTTCTAATAAAAGGCATTTCTATAAAGTCCATTTTATATTGAATGTCTTCATGACGAAAGTGATTTATGGATTTTGACTACTTTATGATACAGGCACTTTTATAAAACTGTTGTTCAAACTTATATGAATCAAAGATAGAAGTGATTTATGAATACTTGCCACCTTTATGACAAAAACACTCTTGCAAACTACCAACGTATTTGTACTTCTTTGTACCAATAGACACAAGAAAAAGAGCTATGTATGTGAAGTACCAAAGGCGGATGTGACAATCTATATAAAGAACGTTGTGAAAAAATACACGTGAAAGATGTTAAATTCTTCTCTGCTTTACTTCTTTCCTGGGACCAAAAATTTCATCACTGATAATGAAGATGTTAGCTTTTTCAATATGCAGTATTGAATGATGTACCAGAAATTCAGTAAATAAAACACAGATGGCGAGCAAGTAAAATACATTATGTGTCTAGCCAATTAAAGAGGATTTACCGTGAAGTAATAAGTAGAAGATACACAAATTTGGTGGTTTTTGAAGTTTAACAGTTAAGGTCATTATAATTTAAAAAAAATGATCTGTAGGTTACAAATTACTCGTCACAGTTTATAAAGACAATTAATATATTTATATAATTAAGTATTAAAGTCATTCTGAAGATTAATCCTGTTAATATTAAGTGTTCAATCTATTTGGTTCTGTTTCTTTCGTTTTCTTCTTGCTTATCGTAACACTTCACTCACCGTATTCAAATGTTTCAACGATGACGGGCATAGACGTTGGGCCAGCACCTTCTTCATTAAACGCTTGAACAATCACTTCGTATTTAGTGCTACTTTTCAGATTTCCAATTTCACATTCATGGGTTTGATGGTTTCGAATTTCTACAGTCTTGAATGGAAGTGTCGGATCATCATGCTGCACTCTGTACCCAACGTAGTATCCAACAATGTTGAAACGTTTTTCTTTCTGGTGTGGTTGCTATATTAGAAATAAGATTACAAAATTTACTATAAATAGTCAGTTAAACTAAAGTTGCGTATGTATTGAAATTGATCTAAACACAGCATTATTTCAAGAGGATTGACTCAAATGTACAGTTGTATGTTTGAAATATCTAAACGTTTAAATTTCATACGTTAAAGGCAACATGCATAACAAAGAATAAAAACAATTTTATGCCGTTTTTTGTTTGTGCTTCGATGACTTTGTAGCCCCGATTATTTTATTTGAGCGGCGTACAGAATATATGAGAGTGTAAAACTGGAACAAAAAATGTTGCTCGAAGCGTAAATTGCAAATTAAACTATTTTATCAATGCTACTTTAAATAAACTTCTGTAAAAATAACACATTTGCTTGGTTTTGTATAAAAAATATATTATGACAAAGATCTATTATGAAATAATTTTCATTTGCATGTTATTTTAATTAATTATTTGAATTTTTCTTTTTCTACTATCTCTTATGAAACATTATGGGAAACTGTATTTGCAGTTAATAATGGTAAATAGTTATACCACAAGTTACAAACAACATTAGCACATCTTTTAGAGAAATAAAATAGCCTAATCTGAGAATTTTTGTATCTACAATATTCTGGTTGCAACATAATGAACTTTAGATTGACTGTGCTGATAGTATGTAGTGTATTTTTGTCAAAATTACTGAAAACGTTTAACGAATCAGCGTATATTCAGAAACTTCTTAATTTTCCAAAGTTTTCTTTCTAAGAAACTTTAACATAAAATGATTTTGACATCAGTGACTTTGACAAGTTTTTTTTTAACAGATACGTATATATATCAAGCCTCAGTAATATGATAAAACAGCCAAGTAATATAAACAATCCATATGCCCAAGGTTGTTATTATAGGCGCTCCCTAGTGTCAGCTAAATGAATGACTTACATAAAGAAAATTTTAAGACCGTGGGTATAAAAGAGGGCTAAGCTCATCAACTAACGTGGAAACTTATACCGCCAATTTTTCCGTCGTCAATGTTCCCGATTCTTTCTTAGCAATATTGTATAAAATTGCAAAAACATTTTGCGAGATAAAGAAACATATTTATCATAGAATTTGTTGGGATGTTACTTTGGGTAGTGAATTTAAATACATTTAATGTATATATATATAGCTAAGATTTAAAATATTTCTGACTTATAATGCGAATCAAAAGAACAATAAAAACTTTGTAAAAATTTAAAAGGTTTATTCTTCCTACATTGCTAGCACTATAAAAATGAGTTCTATACGTGAAAAATGAATTCCACCTACTTGCATATACAGCTTCTGAAAATATCGAAAACCATTGTGAGATTCAAACATTTCTCTCAAGTCTCTATCACGCTTGATGACGACATGTAGAACAATAATGCATATAAAGCTAAGTTAACTAGTACAAAACACTGAAGAGGTTTAATCTTTCAGTTTTGTCTCACCATTTTATTTATGATGAAATTATTGAATTGTTTTTAAATTTTTTGGTTTAAAAAAATGGTTTCCTTAGGTTAAGTTTGAAATAAATGCATTGTACCAATGGTAACTTTTACTTTTTTTTGTGTTTCCTTATATTTTTGCTTTAACTTTATGTTCAATATATAAGTTGTATCAGAAATAAGAAAGTGATCTTAAAAATCCCTGAGGTAACATGTCCCCGGTGGATAAAGCGGGTTCGATTCCCCGTGGTGGATACAACAGATAGCCCAATGAATTCTTAGGCAACATAAATGCGGTATTTGTGAAGATGTCTGATGAGAGAATTTGCTAGAGCAGACGAAACCAAAGCAAAAAATATTTCAGTACTACCTGTTTAACCCTAGTTTCCTATTACAGTCTATATACTACCCATAGCTATTAGGCATGATGAGATGTTTAACTTCATCTTAGTAGTTATGAAAAAAATTAAGCAAGAATTAAAGATAATAATAAATGCATAATCTTATTAAGATTTAAATACCACACAAGAAGAGCCTTTCTGTAACTGACTTTGCAAGATCTCTTATTTGTTCGTAAATATTTTGCATACTTGTATTCTAATTTGTATTAAATCAAAGTAGCATTTAATTCGTTGGTACCACATGTATCTGACAGTTTATTTATTTGCTGAATTTCGCGCAAAGCTATTCGATGATTATCTGCGTTATCCATTCACTGATTTAGTAGTGAAAGGCTAGAGAGAGCGCAGCTAGTCAGTATATCACCCACCACCAATTCTTGGGCTATTCTTTACCAACAAAAAATGGGATTGATTGTCACATTATAACGCCCCGACGGCTGAAGAGATTCTAACCCGCGGTCCGCAAATTGCGAGTCGAGTGCTCTAATTGATGTCTAACAGAGGGTTACAGTTAGGGATTTTTGTATTGGATTTGAAACTTGGTGCTTCTGATAATCTTTTGCAACAGCGTACTGTTAATTATTCGTTTTGTCGTTTGACGAAAAATACACACACTTATCTTTACATTTGTTATCAAAGGTTTTGTGTTTGATCCATTCGAACATTTACGACTTACTTTCCACGTTACATAAATTGATCGAGACCCTCTTGCAGAAACTGTTACTTCTCGAGGTCTTTCTCCAGGGGCTGAGAAATGTAAGATAAAAATTGTAATTCATATTATTTCTTAAGATACGTAGAGCAGAAAAAAAAATATATCAAATTATCAAATGTACAAATTTTATAAAACAGTTTAAACCTTTTTAGAGCTAAAATAGTGCCGTATTGAGTTATATGTATATTAGTTACTTAAAAATTAATTTTAGTTTCATTAAGCTAGAAATTATTAAAACAAAAAAGAATAATGTAGAGTGCTAGCTTTAATCAATAATTATTCAATATTATTTAGCGATTAGGTATTTTACTTGACGATAAAACCGAATTATTTTTTTCACCCCACTCTACTAGGGATGCAAATTAAGTATTGAATTATGTTCGTCGCTGATAGCGTACTATCGATAATACATTCATATTCAATATAGAAACTTTCAGATTTCATGTTAAACGGATGGTCACCCCAACCCTTTTAATACAAGTTTCTTGGAGGTACGTGATAAAGAAACAGCGTCTGTTCATTCGCTTCTTAACTCGTGATTGTTTACGGAATTTGTAAACAATTCTTGTTCTTAGATCAACTGTGATATTCACAACTACTCTGCGCCATCACAAACGTTTATTTCTGTATCCATCATCACTGAGAAATGATAAATCAATGGACCGATTTCCTTAGCATAGTCATTATTATAACAGAGTTTTATGTCAGAGTTTTGAAATGATTACCAAAAATGCGGAAGACGGTCACTTGGGTTGAAATCATTTGATACTTGTCAGTTCTACAAACTCGATTTCGATATAAAACCACATTCCTAGAAAGGGCTGAGAACCTTAACGTCGGTTTAAACATAAAATGTATTTTAAAAAAATGCATTTCCAGAAAAGGCTTGGGCCTTTAACGTCGGTTTTAGCATAAAGTGTATAAAACCACATTCCTAGAAAGGGCTGAGAACCTTAACGTCGGTTTAAACATAAAATGTATTTTAAAAAAATGCATTTCCAGAAAAGGCTTGGGCCTTTAACGTCGGTTTTAGCATAAAGTGTATAAAACCACATTCCTAGAAAGGGCTGAGTTCACGTCTATCTTTCACGATATTTGTCTACTTACGCTTTTTTTTCTGTTTTTCGTTTATTTTGTCTTTTTGCTCTCCTTTTATTTAAAAACAAAATAGAAACTAGTTCTTACTGTCACATTAAATAAATGCTGAAATTAACCAATAATACCTCAGGATATTCTCTTCAATTAAATCAATCGAGTAAACTTTAACCTGCATAACTAAGATATAATCGATCCAATAAACATAAACAAGAGTAGCATGTTCTATGTGATATAAACAATATTTCTTCTTATTTATAGGCTAAACAACTAAAACGTGCAAACTATGCAACTTGATTTTGAAAGTCCATTCGACTTTATATTTTCATAGAGTTACATCTTACAGAATTATATTATAATTCCGATATAAAATATTATATTTAGCCTCATTTTTAAAAAAATTGATTTTTTTTTCTTTCTAATTTTTAAATTAGTGTGTTTTTTATTTATTCCACACAACTACTCCTGATTAAGGGTAGAAATACCCGAATACTAAATTGTTAATATAATACTTACACAGCATGATCTTAGAATAGAATTCAAACACGTAATATTGTGAACTTATTCTTTAGCACAAATATTTCCAGCACATGAATACCATGATCAACAGTCGAGAAATCTTTATAATTTTTTGTTTAATCATTTTTTATATTTTAGTCGTTTTTCTCACTACAGTAGAAGATTCTAAAATAATCATGAGTGGGAAGATTACTTCCAACGTTACTTACGCTCGTCATCAGTGGTAACTGTTATTACATCACTATAGTCACTGGAACCGAGGTTATTATTTGCGCGCATGCGTACTTTATACGCTGATGAAGGTAACAAGCCTTGAATCGTGTACTCGGTCCTAAACGCTTCCATAGCTATGACATCACTGTCTCTATTCCAAAAATCTACAAAATAACAAGTCAAGGTACAAATTCATTAAATATCTTAAATTTTAAATATTTACTTAAATTTGATAAAGTAAGGTAATATTAATGATTGCACTTCTGAAAATTTTATAAGCTAAAATAAGTCCCATAAGTAAACATACAAAGTACTTTGGTTATTTCAATACAAAATAAGTAGATCTATAAACTACAGGCTGTATACTGCCGAAGTAAATATATAGCTTTATCTTACCATCTGCCGACTTGATTTCCAATAAATACTTTGTTATTGGACTGTTCCCATTAAAAGGCGAAGCCCATATTATGGACACGGTGCGGCTGCTCTTATCTTTGACTTTTAAGTCTTTGGGGGGATCTGGTCTTTCTGTAATATAATTTATAACTTGGTTTCTCATAGAGTTCTTCATTGATTGGTAAATAAACTTATACTGAGTTACACAGAAAGTGTGCCTACAACTTCCATTATCTGACATTTCTGTTTACAAGAGCTATAAATGTCACTTCAAGTTTTTAATATCTCATTGCTGTTTATGACTTTACTTCAATTGTTAAAAATGTCCTTTAAAATCTCCTAAAATATTTTCTCTTACTGTGCTAGATTTATTTGTTGAACCTTAAACATCTCATCAAGCACATTGTAATTTAATACCATTTTATTTGCCAAAGACTCGATATTCTGATAACGTTTCAGTGGAGAGTTAATCGCACTTTGTAAGAAATATTTTTATATGCTAATACAGTATCGTCTCGCTGAAGATGCGAGTCATAGCGCTTCTAGTAACATGTATTAGCACACGTATCTTTGGTTCACGACGAATTTTCGACTATTTACATTGCAGTGCAACCTTATAGCTGGAGATTATTATCACAGCATTTTCTAGAATAGATATTTGCATAGGGAGATTGTTTAACGGAGCAGAGCCAAAGAACATGCTATTTTTAAGAAAGGAGCCTTTGGTATTCTCTATGAAAGCGGGAAAACTCGCACAGTATAGCGTCGTTTAGAGCCGCAATGAAACTACACCCCAAGCCAATCAGGGACAACTACCTTATCTACAAAATGATGGCTTTGGTTACGAAAAAAGCTGATTTATCCAAAAACGCTTTTAGCAGTGAAACTTGTCTTATCTGTTAGAACCGTTAACAAGATAATGAACTATGTTCTTTTCTTTGTAAATACGTTTCACACAAACTATATTTTTATATACCTGACTGGACCAACTAGCAGAACTGTAGGTTGTGAGGTTCTCTCGCTACTTACACGTTTATACTCTTACTTCTTTTGCGTATAGCATTTGTTTTTGTGTTCTGTATTTATAGCAAATCTGCCCTTAATCTTAAAGCCCTGACCTGAGGAAGAACAGCCAGTAAGCAGCGCCCTATAACCCCCAATCGAAGATAAGCGACTTACTGTCACTCTTATAATGCACCCAGAGCGTAAATTGCCGGGAATATTTTGTTGTATCGTACGAATTCGAAATCCAAAATAATATCACAAGGCCAACCAACGTCCCTGTACACCATAGAACCACTTAGTGGAACATAATTACTTTATAGGAGTTTTTAATAACATATTTATAACTTTTTTGGTTCCATCTCACAGATCAAAGAAACATGTTTATACTATAACCTCATTAAAACTTTTAGTTTGTATCGCTTTTAAAATTACTCTAAGAGTGAGGGAAGTAACATTCCTTATTGTATCAGGCAAATTATTGTTTAGGATGAAAAGCTTATTTTATTTTTCAAAAATACATAAATTTCATGAATGTATTTGCAAGTTGAGTATTTATTAAAATATACATAGCTTTTCTTTGGAGTTTACAAATAGTTCCAAACTAAATGTATAGTGAATTCAATATATAGCTATCATAGAACGTTTTATAGTTGTTGTTTTTTTGGCAATAAACAAATATAATGTTTATTCAAATATAAGACATATGTTTAATTTATTCTAAGTTATTATACAAACTGATTACTAGACAAATCAACTGACTGAACACGTGTATAGCCGGACGTAACCTAGTAATTAACGTACTCAGACTGTAAATCCCAGGGCCCTGGATTTACTATAAGAATGAAGTTCAAATCTTACTATTGGATCAGAAAACGTTGTCTAAGAGTTGGTGGTAATTGCAACTGATTAGCTGCTTTCCCTCTAACTCAAAATTAGAGACATGCACGAGGAGTAGCCCTTGTGTAGCTTAGCGAGAACATTTTGAAACAGACAAATATGATAAGTTAGATTATTTTAAAGAGCATGCGTTTACCTTGAACAACAACTTGAAATCCAGTCTCATCTTTTCCGTAATCATTCTCCACATCACAAACAAAGAGACCGGACTCTTCGCGGCTAATAGAGATGATTTTGATCGTCGAGACTTTCCCTTCAGGCTCTATCGTTTCTTTAAAAATGTACCTGTAGAATAGGTGCAGTCAATACACGAGACAAACTTTCTCTTTCCTGCACAATATAACTGTTTCTATATTATATAAATACGAGTCTTATGTTCACTACAAAAATATTTTTGATCACCCTCGAGTTAAAACTGGAACTAATTTCTTCAATGTTTGTCAATTTTTTCTTCATTGTTTCACAAAAAATACCTATCAGCTATCTATATTTTATTAGATATATCCATCCATTATATCTATGATTTAGGCCAACATATCCTGGCTGAAACAAAAGATGAAGGCTGTTTTGGCTAAAGCGATACAAATCTTAGTATCATATCTGAATTTACTGACTGAATATAAAAACAACCCTATTTAATAGAACAAAATACAATCTGTTTGTTCATTACGTCCGAATGAAAAACGTTAACGCCTTAGGACTATCAATGAAAGTTAATAATAGACAGGATTAAATCAACTTTCTGCAATATGCAAAATAGTATAATTAAACAAATTTAAAAAAATCATTTCCGGCTTAGTTTCAGCCTCGAGCTGTACAGTTGTAGTTTCAGTTTAAATTCCATTAAACATGTTCGCGAATTTGGGCCTAAATCGTATGTAACAAGAACTAGTGAAAAACACTCATACTGTCTATCAAAACCAAAATGGTTGCTTATCTCCACTTTTGAGGTGCTCGGTTGCGAATATAATTTATAATTTTAGAAACTAAAACAAGAATGAAGAAATTTAAATACCTGCATAACCTCAAGCTTCTTGTAATAAATTAGGTTATTTCGTCCAACATCGATGTTCAAATAAAATAACAATATATATATATATATATAAATATTTATACGTGTTAATTAGAAATATATATATAATCAATGTTGTAAATACTTAACTGGACTATTTTATTTCAAAATTAATTGAAGTGATTATGTTTATACTTTAATCTTTATCTTCTAGAAACATTAAAGTTTTTTAGGCAATAAATCAGATGGATGATTTTAAAAAGAAAAAGATTAATTGTTGCCCAAAAGTCTGGTTTATACAACTCATTCCGTGCTTTTAGACTGTCACCAGGTTCTTTTTTAAAAGTTACCTAAACGAAAATAGATAATATTAATAAATTCAGTAAATGTTTCTTTTTCACGTAATTTTCATTGCTCTTCACGTATTATTACTTTCACAAAAAGTCATCAACCGCCAAGCGGATTTATTTACTGGAAACTGTAATCATCTATTTAGTGAACTGATATAAGTAATGAACATCTTTATAAAAGTTCATTTGAATAAACCACTGTTACAATGTTCTAAAAACTAAACTTTTACAGTTATAGAATATACTTTACAACCATAGCATTAACTATAAAACCTTTTAAATAACGTTGGGTTAATATTGTATTAAGAATACCATCGTATCTCTGTACGTCTAAACAATATCTTCAAAGGTTATGATATGAAAAGCGATAAATAAGGCGATGTTTATATAAAAAAAACACATACTAAAACACACAACTTCGGATCACAAATCTTACAATGAAGAACAAAACATACAAATCATACGTTATATATATATATATATTTGTGTGTGTGTGTGAATTAAGCCTTAAAATTATTTTTAGTTTAAAGTTCCATGAACGACACCTAGAAACACCGTCGAAAACCTGAAAGATGGTAAACGAAAAATAACATTAACGATTGTATGATAATTTTATTTTTTTACAAACTCTCTTTATTTTGAAAGAAATCTTTGATATTTGAAGTATTGTGCAAAAGGTCGTTATATATAATGTTTAAATAATAAACTCTGTAACAGTATTTCAAGTTCAAAACTTGTAAATTTTAAATAGTTTATGATGCAAAATATAAGATCGTTTTGTATTTATTTCGAACATTATACATTAACAACTCTTTTGATTTTATATAAGAACCTGATGTTGTTACAATTGATACATTACTACATTAATGTTATTGTTATATACTACAATTTAAATAGCTTAAAACTGAATTAAATTGTAATTTAGACTTAGTAGTTAAATAAATGCCGATTTATATCCAATTTGTGATATTTGCCAACAAGACTGATATACACAGTCTTCTTTTTTAGTACAAATATATTTTAATATACAAACAGTAATACAATTTACAATAACAGTTATTACAAACAATGATTTATATTCAAAAGTTTTACAAACTTACAAGCAATATACAGTCTTCTTTCTAGTCTGGAACTTCCTTGATATCTTATCGACAGTTCACGATGAGCGAATTAATTTCGAGTAGACGTAGGTACAATTCATTTAATAGGGAGCTAGCTAGCTCTTTAGTTCTCGCTGATCACACGCCGATTACAGATCGACTTTCTTTTACTGCTGAAGTTATATAATATCTTCGTAAAAGTATTAAAGTCCGATGTGAATCCATTGAAGTTGAATGGTTTATAGTGTTCGAAATTTATAAATATTCCTGATCAAATATCTGTAGTTTTCCGATTAATAATAACAATTATAGATTCCGAGGTTTATAGTATACCAACTATAGCAAACGAATAATATATATTCTGTTTTTAGATGCGTTGCGTTGGTTATATTTATAAGCGTGTGGAGAGTTTCTCGAAAAATCAGATTACTTAACAATACAAGCTACACTTGCGTTTACGTACACACACACACATATTGTTGATTTTTACACTCGAGAATCTTCTACAACTTTAGAGAATAGGCGAGAGTTTCGCAATACATATTTAACAGTATACGTTATGTACATTTATAAATATAACTTTCTTTTATACAAACGTCGATATTAAAATAAATATAGAATAATAAATCCGTCACACTATAAAAGTAAAAAAGAAACAACATCAGTTAGTAGGCTTCAGAGAAGAGAGAGAAAGTATTATTTGTGAATGTACAGATTTAGTAGAGACGTTCACTTTTTGAAAATTTTATTAGCATATTATTACCTTGGACTGCTAGTTGGATCAAAGGGAACCTGGTCCATCATCCAGGTGACTTCAATCGGATTTTCTCCACGAGCACGGCACTCTAAAGTTACACTGTCTCCTTCCTTCACTGTATAGACTTTAAATTTCTGCTCAGTGTGTACTGCAACTATAGGAAAGAAAAGGAAGTACTAATCTAAGGAAACATGAAACAATAGATTTAATATTGAACAATGAGACTAGTATTAAAATGGCATGATCTATCGCATGTTGAAAAATGAATGCAAGTTTCTGAATATTCCAAAATATACTGAAACAGATAAATTTATGTTGGATAATTGCCAAACGATACACGGTGAAGCATATTAGTATCAAAAAGAACTGAACATTTAGATAGAATGTGTTAGAAATGAGCTGTGAATGTTGAAGAAACAGTGTATTTGTGCGCATGTCCGTCTCTAATTTTGAATTAAATAGACTAAAATGAAGCAGCTTTCCAATAATACCGACTTCCAACTCTTTTGAGCTATTATTGTCTGGGCAAAAAGTGTGATTCGACAGTTACTCTTACAGCGCACCCACGCACCTGAACTGTAGAACGCGATTTTATAGCAACTGGTTGCGAACCATGAACTATAAATTCACAATACGGGCAGGCTAACCACTAAGCCACGTCAGTATTATTAGTAGGGAGATGATAGTCAAAAATAAGCAGTTATTACTTTACTTACGGGTTCAATGGTCCGTGTTTCGTTACCATTATTTTTGCACTTTGGGGCTGTGGGTATGCTATAAAAGTGACGGTCAAATTCTGTTCTTCGATTAGAGTAGCTAGGAGTTGACGGTGGGCGCTATTAATTAACTACCTTCCTTTCTAGTAATCAGTACAAAATTAGAACAGCTAATTATCATGTAAAGAACCAGTTTCGCTTAGATTAACATATTCCACTCTATTAGACTAAAAACAGTAAGAGTATAAAAAATATGAAGTTAGATCCTATTAGTTATGGATGCTAGCGTCAGTAATTGCGTTTAGATACTTGGTAAGGGTGGGACGGTTTAAATCATTTACTAAAGTTAATCTCTTTAAAAATACAACATTAAACATAATTTGTTTTGTTTTTAAATACTTATAATTTTAAAGTACATCTATTATTTAAAAGATGGCACTTTACGAGTAATTATTGGAAGCTCTGATTTACCATGGACAGAAAGGTCAATTACAGTACTAAGTCCTGAACCAACACCATTAGTCAGTTGACACATATAAGAACCAGAATCTTCAGGCGTAGCTTCTTGGATCACTAAAGAACCGTTTTCTAAAATCTGAATGTTGGCGTTGCTGATAACCACCCGAAATTCGCCATCATTTCCTGGAAAAGGAGTATAATTTTCTAATTCAGAGAGCAAATTGGATAGTCAAAAAATATTGCACAAGAAGAAAAACAATTATTGCCGATAAAAGATACAACAAAGAGTAAATGCATGTTATTTAACCGATTAACGAAAAACAAAGATATGGTAGTCGGTTTTACAAAAAAAAATCAAAATATAATAAACTGATAAAGACTAGGTTACAAATAAAACGCCTGATCACCGTTCATAAAGAGTGATAAAACTCAAATCAAGGGAATTTTCTCAGATAGAAAAGGTTTACAGCACTCAGCCATTCTGTTTAAACTGTCAAGCATATCTCTAATATATAGGTTTAGCAGCATTAACTTCATTTATATTCAGGACAGCTGTGATTTTCAAGCACGAAGCTTACATCATGATAAAGCAAAATCTGAGAAAAGCGTAATTCGGGTGATATATGGAAGGATATAAAAGCATTAATGATTTACTAGTTGTTAAGGTAACTTCTTGATGACTAAGTTTCGTCTCATATTTCGTGTGAAAAAGGTTGGTTGTGATATAATCATACCTTTTTTCAAGCAAATGTAAGTTTTCTTTGCCTTCACGATGTTATGTTTTCCGTCAACCACTAAAATCCCTAACTTTCTTCACGAAAAAACGTTTAAGTTATAAATACAGATATAACATAATGATATATATAACTATACATACATCTAATACACGAACTTGTTCTTCATTTTCCGCTTTTGTATCTCTTTAGCAGAAGTGACTAAAAAAGTTGCCTAGTAATTTAAAAAACTGATTTCGAAACTTTTATGATTTCTCCATTTTCAAAGGCCCAACAATCCTTATCTATTGATACGCTGGTGAAGATCTTCATCAGTTTCTAATGAAATGTAGTTCTGAAAATCGATTTTTTTTCCAAAGGACTCACACAGGTGGATGAAATCGCATCAATCCACTTAAAACTTCTATACACAGAATTCTGGATATCTATTTACGTTATTCAGTTTTAAAGCTGAAAGCTCAGTTCGCTTTATCAGTATTTATGTTGTCTTTTTAATAACTCGGTGATGATATGATTTGTTCTATGTCAGTGTAGAAGAAAATAAAACAAAAATTATCAATGCAGTATGAAGTGATAAATATATCTAATTAACAATTTCATCGAATTCCAAAAGTTATATTTTGTATTTTAAAAGAAATGAAAATGTAGGCATTTCTTATTTTTAGTCTGATTAAAATGTTAAGACTAATGTTAATAAAATTAATTTTTACAGTTCCCTTTCTGAATTGAAAGATATAACAAATATGTTAAAAATTTATGCACAAGAGATAATGAAATTATGAGAATAATAGTTTTACTTTTATAATCAGAAAATGAAGCCAAGTGTATCAAATATTGCTACTTGCAAAAAACGAAAAATATATAATAAGGAAAGAAGTTACAAAACAACGAGAAAAAGGGCTTAAATTTTCAACACTGGAGTAGCTTAATTTCCTTGTTTTGTTTGGTTTTGATATATAAAATGCATTTCAGAGGATACATTATAAATAAACATTCTTTACTCGATGATTTATTAAAGAATGGTGAAAATGGATGCTAACTGCCTTATATAAACAGTTGAATTTCAAGGTGATGATGTTTCAATTTCAACAACTCAAGAGCCTCCAAGCCTCAAGATATCTTCGTCAGTGTTGATGTGACGGCTTCGTTTTCCAATGTTACTACGACAGAAACTCTCCACATAAGCAAACAACAACTGTTAAATGATTACTTATCAACCAGAACTGACATAAGTATTAAAGCTGTCTTCGAACTAACTTTCAGGACAACAACATATTCTATGAATAAATACACAGCCTTGCCAAGGGCTTTTCAAATTGCCCCAGTCCTAGCGCATATTTGAATGAAAAATTTCCAACAAAGAACACTCATTACATAGAAAAAATTCATTTTTACAGATGCTTTATTGACGACACGTCATCTAGCCACGTGGGTAAGAACACCTAGCTTTTTTCTGGAAACAATTAAATTCTATATGTCAAAGAATTCAATTCAACGTGAAAATGGAGAATAACTTAACACTGCCGTTTATAGACATTCTCATCATCAAACGTGACGACAAATTCATGACTCCAGTATATAGAAAACCGACTCATATAGACAGATACCTAAAATTCCATATACACCACACACTTTCCATAAACGACAGTATCATCTGATGACTGAACAACACAGCTGAAAACATCTATGATAAAAGTAGCATCAACGCAGAACGTCTTCACATTATACAGTATTTCTCTTCCTTGTGTACAAAATACGAGCGAAATAATCAAAGACAATTCTAAACAGATATTTCAACATGTATCCACTGAAAATTCAACAGAACAAGTAGACAAGTGCTGGTACAAACAAAATACTACAAACGAAAAGTACAAAGACATTATTTATTAAATAAATCTCTTATTTCTGTAAAGAGGGAGACAAGATGGCATTTTTGGTGTAATAATTAAAGAACACAGACAATACATTACTAATACAAATTCAATCTCATTTTAATACATTATTTGGTGTATTTAAAATGTAATGCTGTTTATAATGTTAAAGTATTAGAAATGTCTATCACTTCACTTCCAGACTTTCTAGAGACCATTCCGCTCATACTTTATGATGGACTAGTAATGGTACTCACCACCAGGGTATAGCTGATATATTGAATAGATATCAATATGAACTTTGAACAGATATAAATATAAAAAATAAAATACACACACTGAGGAAATTGAAATAAGTAAACGTTTTACCGATAACTTTCTTCCAGCGGGCAACAGGAGATGGAAATCCTTCAGCCTGACAGTTGAAAACTACCTTATGACCTACGACAGAAGCCTGATGAACGGGTTTGTGCTTCCACTTAGGAGGAACTGATCAATGGAAGAACGAAGACAATTGTCAGGGGAATATCTCAAATCACAGTTCATTCCTCACCTTATGCAGTTAGATATCTTACTCTTCAATACTGTAAGGATTGCTATACATATCTGCAAACAGATTTGGCGTCATTCTATTAATCTAATAGAATTTTTCTGAATACTGTCAGTGGTGCATGAAATTTTTGTGTGTGTGTTTGTGTGGTGGTAAAAAACATTTATCTTAAAGAACAAAAACTCTTAAGATTCTGTAACAATAAAGTGTTAATATACGATTTCCAAATATTTGTTTAGATGTTAAAACGAAAGAAACCAAAATGAGAATTGTCCACGAATTGTCTAAATAATAGTATTGATAATATATGTACATGTTTATTTAAAAACAAACTAACCTAACTTCATAAAATAATTATACTTCAAAATTTTCATATTTTTAAGGAAAATAAATTCTTTACTTTAATACCTTTTACATCAAGAGTTGCTCTGAAGTTATTCGATTTTACTTTAATGCCTTTTACGTCAAGGGTTGCTGTGAAGTTATTCGATTTTACTTTAATGCCTTTTACGTCAAGGGTTGCTGTGAAGTTATTCGATTTTACTTTAATACCTTTTACGTCAAGGGCTGCTGTGAAGTTATTCGATTTTACTTTAATGCCTTTTACGTCAAGGGTTGCTGTGAAGTTATTCGATTTTACTTTAATACCTTTTACGTCAATGGCTGCTGTGAAGTTATTCGATTTTACTTTAATACCTTTTACGTCAAGAGTTGCTGTGAAGTTATTCGATTTTACTTTAATGCCTTTTACGTCAAGGGCTGCTGTGAAGTTATTCGATTTTACTTTAATGCCTTTTACGTCAAGAGCTGCTGTGAAGTTATTCGATTTTACTTTAATACCTTTTACGTCAAGAGCTGCTGTGAAGTTATTCGATGCTACAGGGTTTGACGCTACACATGAGTAGTTTCCTCTATGTTCGTGTCGTACGACTGGGAAGGAGAGAATAGAAGTGTAGTTATTGGCCATAACGACAGAAGCCTCTAGATCCGAGGGTAAAGACATTCCGTCTTTTTTCCAATGTATAGAAATAGGAAGATCCCCGGCTGAAACAACACACATCACAGACGCTCTTTCACCCTCAGATAAATAATTGGATACCTTCAAAGGTTCAACTACAGGTGGCGCTAAAATAAAACAATATTTTTTTTTTCTTATACATGGAATAAGCTATAATATATTACAACGACACTATTAACCTAAAATTTCAGTAAAGTAGAAGTTTAGAGTTTTAGGAACAGGAAGAATAAATTTCTCTATATGAAATTATGTTGTTTGACCAAGGTTAGATATAGCAGACATTTTTTATCATCGAGTGAAATATACCACATAATATAGTGACGAAAGCGTATTAAAACATATTTTAATACTAACTAAAATACTTTTCTATAATGACATTCATGATGATAAAAACACCAAGACATTATGAATTATTTTTAGGAGCATTTATTGTTAATTATCATAAAATGAGCCTCTGGTTAATCTTCAAATTTTTATAGATTTGTCAAATACATAAACAATTAAACTGTCACTCTCTAAGTTACAATGGCGAACAAAGGATCTGTATGATCACTATTGGAAACTGGTAAGATCTGAATGAATTTAGCTAGTAAAAAAATCGAATTAAGAATCTTTGTCATTTCTTGGAAGTCAAAACATTTATAATCAGTTGTGTTGAGCTACATATCTTATCCAATCAGCGTTTAGTTTTTCCATCTCATCCCGAAATATTTAATGAATCGTCCCTTTTTATATCCAATAGATTTCACTAACACATTTTTGTCGATTTCATTCCATCTGGTAAAAAAGCTTCAAAGATAAGATAATAAACGATACACTTGTTTTGGACCCACGCAAATGGATATGGAAACATGCCCATATGTCCTTTATATCACAAACATTTGTACACCTACTTGCCACATTTATCCAAAGCTCCTGTCTTGCCTTTCTTCCTTGACCATCTGTAGCACCACAAGCGTACCATCCAAAGTCCTGATGTTGAATATCTTCTAGGATAAAGGTGCCATTAGGAAATGGTCGTTGCCTGTGATTGTAAGGAAGTCTCTTCTCATCTATCATGAAAAGAATTCTATTGACTAAGAAAATGTATATTGAAATATAACTAATAGTTTATAATAAGAAAGGCCTACGTAAAGCTTTAGTGTTTAAAAACAGTGCTATCAATAAAAACTTTTTTTTTCATTCTAGAATATATTTTGCGTCTTGCAAATGTTTATTTCATAATGATTTCAACTGATAGCAATGAATGAAAAGCAGGTACCTGACAATAAATTGTTTTGATGATGTAAAGATACATTAAACGGTTTTAACTGATTTAAAGTTTGATTTAAAGTTTGAGTTGGCGGTGGGTGGTGATGACTAGCTGCCTTCCTCTAGTCTTTCACTGCTAATTTAGGGACGGTTAACGCGGGCCCAGGGCATGGCCAGGTGGTTAGGACGCTCGACTCGCAATCTGCGGGTCGCGAGTTCGCATCCCCATCCCACCAAACATGCTCGCCCTTTCAGCCGTGGGGACG